ATTTGCAAAAAAAAAAAAAGTTTATGAGTTTGAACATTAAATATATTGTCCTTGTAGTGTATTCAATTAAATAAAGGTTGAAAGGGATTTGCAAATCATTGTATTCTATTTTTATTTACATTTATCACAATTTCCCAACTTCAACAGAATTGGGTTTTGTACAATTGTATGCACTAGTTCACTAGAAACCATAATTCACGATTGACTCGTTGACATGTCAGAGTTTTTGCAGCTTACTAGTGAACAAGTGTGTGTTTTTGACATGTGATATCAAGGATATCTAATAAATACTCATTTGGCTTTCCATAGAGAGGGGCACACACACACACACACACACACACACACACACACACACACACACACACACACACACACACACACACACACACACACACACACACACCACCACCACCAATCAGGAGAAACAACAGTGCATCCTCCTACAGTCAGGAGGGAACTTAAGACAGAAGTTGGGCATGACGAGAACCATCAAACAGACACTGGACATTTAGGTGGGTGCAAGCAACTGCGCAGCCTACACGCGGCCGCAGACATGCTCAGGCTTGATTGACTGATTGACGATCAAGCGCAATGCAAATCAACATCATGTAAAAGGGAAAATACGTTTTTTCCCCTCTACCCGCTGTCACAGTAACAACATAAAAATAATAGTAGCGAAGATGCTTCTGTGAAATGTAGTGGAGTAAAAGTATACTTTCATTTTTAAAAATGTAGCCAAATAAAAGTAAAAGTCGTGGGCACACACACACACACACACACACACACACACACACACACACACACACACACACACACACACACACACACACACACACACAATAAATAAAAAAAAATCTCCAGTAAAGTACAGATACTTCAAAATTATACTCAAGTCCTGTACTTAAGTATTGCTACTTACTTACTATACACACTGAGCAGGTCAGATGCTCTGAGAAGAGACGAGGCCATTGTGGAGCTTCAAAAACTAACACAAGTCCCCTGAAATAAATTCTGACCTTGACCAGGAGCCAGTGCAGAGACTCTTTGGTTCCTGTTATCAGTAAGCTGGAGCCTTTTGGACCATCTGCAAACGGGACAGGGATAACCAGCTGATGCTCAGATAGAGGGCATTGCAGTAGTCCAGTAACTGAGGGAGAGAGATGGTTTTATATCTGCTCTGTTGGTGACAGCAGCAGCTTTTGATAATGGTGCTTTTTTATACCGAGGGATATAATGATAAAAACTGAGTTGATGCTCAAAGAATTTCTGGAGTTATGAATTAGCCCACTAAAGTGTGCAGGTCACTACAACATATGTTGAATTATAACATAAAACTTCTATTAGAGCATTTTTGTATACATTGAATTTACTGTATGACATCCAAAGGGCTTGAGGGTTTTTCTACATTTTATCTACTTGAAGGCCTCCAGAGGGTGCTAATTCCCTTTTTTTGTATAGAAAAGGCATTGAGGATGTGCTTTCATTCATACTTTATGTACTAAAAGGCTTTCAAGAGGCACTTTGTCATAAGATAAACGTTTATTCATCCCATGCTGGGGAAATCTGCAGTGTTAACCGCAGGAAATGAAGGGCAGAGCAAACATAGAAGAATCAGTACTCTCATCATGCAACACAGTGCATAGTTACAAAAAGTTACAAAAGTTGACATGTTTGATACAAAAAAGACTACGAAAAAAAATTTCTATGCATAACAGCATAACAGGATAATCTTTGCATGGGGAGGAAGTTAAGGTAAATGAAACAACAACAGCAACATGAGTTTTTGCATGCCACAAAAGCAGAGCTTCACCAGTTATTACCAGTTATTACCAGTTATTCATTTCAATTAGCTTTAACTGGCTTTCAAGTGATTGCAAGCACCTTTTCCCCTTGTTTTTACCCTACCTGTAAAGTAATGGATGATGTTTAGTCAACAGAGGCTTATGTGGATCAGAATATGAAAGCAGGAGGTGGAGGAACCTTGTCTCACCTATAATAATAATAATAATAATATCAGGAGACTTCAACCACACCACACTCTCCTCTCCTCTCACCTGACTGGATTTACACAGTTTCTTAACTGTACTACGAGAGGACATTTTTCATGAGATTCCAGACAAATTAATTACCCTTAGGGGAAAAATAAAGTTCTTGTTACCAAATAGACCAGACTTTTGCCACTAGCTTGAGCATGTCTGTCTGACCTTATGAGAGTGAAGCCAGGTAGATCCACACTGGAGTCCAAGTTGTTTTGATTCAACCAGGTTTTAATAAAACACAGAAGACTGCACTCACTGTATGTTTCCTCAGTCTTCACAAATATCTCCAGCTCATCACTTTTGTTGGGCAGAGAGTTGACGTGTCCCGTGATGACTGATAGAAGAAAGGGTTTACATCTTCATTTCCTAGCCTTCAACCTTGCCTTTACCTTTGCACCAACATGGCAACCACAATGATGCCTCCTCCTGATGTCTCAATGACAGAGGCTCTTCTCGCGAATAAACTCTTCTTCCAGCAGAAATATCCATCAGTAGCTGACAAAAACAACAAAAATACAAAAACAGAGCAAAAAAGGCATAAAATGGCAGCTATTGCAGCTGTGTCTTAAATTTGGGTGTTAAGTCTACACTTAAGCTGAAGCTAGTTAGTTTGTAATTTACGTTGGTGATACTGCGAGCAGATCACAGTGGAAAATGAAAAGGACTCTCAACAGCTTTGGTGCTGTCACATGGATTGTGGGACAGATTGTTGCTCCACTTTTCCCCACGCCTCCTCAAATGTGCCACAGAGATCAAGAATGATCCCACCAACCCAACAAAAAGACTCAAACACAGCTTTTTCCCTATGGCTGTGAAAAGACTGCTGCAAGGCCCATAATGACCACACTCTGCAATCATCTGGGCAATTACAAGAACTGCTCCCTGCACCACATGTCCAATGCATATTTACTGTTCTTTTACTGTACATATTAATGATTACATTTATCAAGGCTGCACGATATTGGAAATAACTAACATTGCGATTTTTTTCAACCCTGCGATATATATTGCGATATTAAGCTAAGTAGCTAAATATTGTTTAGCAGCTCATGAAGTTAACCACCCCCACCCAACATGGAAGTCACTAGAGCTCTTTAAATCACAAAAATACGCATTTTCCTGCAATTTTCACCTACATGATATACTTTCTTTTGGCCATATATCACCCATGGACATCAGGGATAGGAGCACATTATTCACACATATTCACATCATAACCTCACAGCCAGTGTTGCCAACTTACAGCCTTGTTGCTATATTTGGCGAGTTTTCAGACCCCTCTATCAATTAATTTAGAAACTTATAAAAAAATTTTTTTAAAAAGTAAAATTAAAAAAAAAAACCTCGGTAACTCCGCCAAATTGTCTCAATTGAGTCATTTTTGCCGGTCCCCAGCCCAGATAAAGGAGGAGTGCTGGAGTTGTTGTCTCTCATGTCTCTCTGTTAAAGGCATGGACTGTGAAGAAGATGAGTTACAGATATCCACTATAAAAGCAGAGAAACGTCTCTGCATTTCTAAGGTGGACAGCTATCAATCATCTTCTTCAGAGTCTGTGCTCTCAACAGGGAGAACAACACTGCCGCCATGTGTATGGGAGAGGCGGTGTTCTCCACACGTGAATATCCTCAACTTGTGTGTGTGTGTGTGTGTGTGTATCTTGAAAACTGTGTGATGTTTGACTCAAAAATAAATTATCCACAAACACATTTTTCAACAATTCACAAGCAAAATTTAAGATTTTCAAATGATGATAAATGCACGCACACACACACAATTCAAAAACAAATGTGAAAATCATGGTGACCTAAAAATGAGGCCCAAAAGCTGCAAAACCACTGTTAGTGGACACATGCAGGTGTCACTGCATTCAAAGGTGTTAAAACACGCAAGCAACACAACAACATCATGTCATCCCCTCCCATCAACTCATGATGCAACCATTGCTTTAGAGACCACCTATGCATCCAATCAAAACTGTATAGAAAAGATTTACTGCAGTTGACTGAGATAACCAACGTCTAGGTGAGCGCGACAAAGTTTGAAGAATATTTCAGCCGAGTCAGCCAAGTTATAGAGAAGAAGAGCAGTTTTCTTCAACCATGACAACTCCACCTCCACCACCAACATACCAGGCTGGTTTTGGGTTTAACCCCCCCCCTCCCGCAGCAAAAAGTTCCAATGGAGATTTTGAGGAGTTAACATTTGAAGATCTACTCAAGCTTGATCTACAGAGCCCATTCGACAGTCCCCACACAGTGTTCAAGACACTGTGTGACAATATGCTCTTTGAGGCAAACCACCTTACAACGCAGAGCCAGACCACTGATCCTCTGCCTTCCTTTTCACCTCTACATTCATCACCAACACACCCTGCTGGTTTTGGGTTTAACACCCCCCCCCCCCTCATTCAGCAGAAAGTTCCAATGAGGAGGCTATGGAGTTAACATCTGAGGATGTACTCGAGCTTTTTGACTTAGAGAGCCCATTGGACAGTCCCCGCACAGTGTTAAAGACACTGGCTGAAGATGGTGACCTGCTGACAGATGACATGCTCCAGATCCTGTACACTGACCCTCTGCCTTCCTTTTCACCTCCACCTCCATCCCCAACATACTCTGCTGGTTTGGGGTTTAACACCACCCCTCACCCAGCAAACAGTGGGGCTGGACAGTTTGCAGAGGTCACAAGTGTTGAAGATGCTCTTCAGCTCTTTGACCAACAGCGTGCATGTGCCAGTCCCTACACAGCGTTTAAGCCACTGTGTAAAGAATTCACTGGAACTTTACAATCAGATGAGCCCGCTGTTTCTCTTCCCACAGCCTCCAACTCAAGGTAAGTATTGATTCAAATTACTCAAACTTTATTTTATTCATAAACGATCATGATAATAAGCAAAGAGAATGGAAATGACATTAGGCATACCTTAACATTTATTCAATTAAAAAAGTTTGATAGAGCAACAACATTAACTTTCTCTCTGATTTTGACCAACAGGAAAAGAAAAAGGGAAATGGAGCAGGAGGACAGCTCATACATCAAAAAGTCACCAAATGCCTTCATGATGTTTATGAGAATGTACAGAAAAAATGTACCAGCTGAAGTTGCAGAGATAGGGAGCGCAGAGATGAACGCTTTCCTCGGCCAGTGGGTAAGTGTGTCAGGACATGGTTCACTCGGGTTTAAATAAATCAAAGATTTTTACTTTATCTTTTCACTGTAACTGTTAATGTTGCTTTTTATTTACTGTCTCATGTAAAGAACTTTTAAAGGTATGAAAGTTTGCATAAAGGAAATGTCGTACACTCACTAATGAGTACCTGGTGTGCACCAGGTGTTGTTCATGCGCCAGTGGATGATCCAGTTTGGAAATGAGTGTGTTTCTGACAATATGTTTTGTATGTTCACAGTGGAAGAAGCTTACAGAGGAACAGCGAGGGGACTTTAAAGAAATGGCCAGAGTGGAAAAGGAAGAACACAGTCGGCTGTACCCTGGTTGATCAGCCATCAGCAACTTTGTAAGTACACAATCTATGCACAGCAGCATCACAAATGTTGTGATGTGAGATTTCAAAAGCAGCTTTATACTACTGACACTGCATAGTCTGGTGTTACCAGGTCAGAAAAGTAACAATGTTATGTTGTTTTTCAGGGCAAGAAAACGTAAAGGATGAGGAAAAGCTCACCAGCTGCAACTGAACCATTTAACCAGTACCCATACCAGCAGCAAAAAATATATTAAAAAATCAAATAAAGAAAAAGAAAAACAATAAAAAAAAAACAATTAAAAAACTTTAAAGATAATAATAAATTAAAAAAAAAAACAATAAAAAAATTAAATTAAATTAAAAAAAAAAAAAAAAAACAGTAACTCCGCCAAATTGTCTCAATTGAGTCAATTTTGCCGGTCCCCAGCCCGGATAAAGGAGGAGGGCTGAAGTTGTGACATTAAAAAAAGAAGAATCGACAGAATAAAGTTCATTTGTTGTTCTAAACATATTTGGGGTGTTTTTTACTCACTTTTTTACTTACTTTTATCTCTCCCACGACATTGTTCCTCTCCTTTACAGCGTTCATTACAATTTGAGGCTATGGGCCAGAGGCCAGAATTTCACTATTAGGTACACCTCAGGGTGGCAAAGGTTCATCATGATTTTTGACAAGATACATGTCTGTAGATCAAGGCTGCACGATATTGGAAAAAACTAACATTGCGATTTTTTTCAACCCTGCGATATATATTGCGATATTAAAAATATAGGAATTTTCACCAGATGACCTGAATAGCATTTAATGTTATGCTGCACCGCTGAAATCTTGAGGACAGTAAACCTGCACTGATCTTACCTCTTTTTGTGAATGTTAGTAGAATGGCTTCTGTCTGTCTCAGAGATATTTTTAGCTTTTATTGTTCTGGGACGTTATTGTGGCAACAGATGAACACAGAAGACGTGTTTTGGTCGACATCATCCTTCTTTTAACCGAAATAATTCCAGATAACTGACTTTCCTTTTCTTTTTGGCAACAAATCTTCATTTTCGGTGGTTTTCTCTTGTTCGTTGCTCATTTTGCAGTCTTTGTTGTTGTTAGCGGTGTTGTGCCGAGAAACGCATGTCCTCCAAGAATTGCATGCACCTCGCAAAACGCGCACCGCTTATAGTAGAGTGGTCCATGGAAATATACATTTTAAAACCCGTACAGTTCTTACTCGTTGGGCTTAATAGTCATGAGTAAAGTTCCGAAAGTAATTCTCAGCAGACACGCGTTTCTCAGCTCAACACCAGCAGCCGGCGAGTAACTCCATGTACAGAACATGTGCAGGGGTGGGTTTCCTCATAGACATAATAAAAGAGCAGACCCCGCATCGGCTGCTACCACAAATGGGCGCTGTTGAGAAATGCGGCCACCATCTTGGTCCGGTCATTCGCCTCACTCTGCACCGCTGTTTAACCGGCGGAATGAAGTCCAAGCGCATTAAATGAATCATAGTTCGCTCAATACTACGCAATTTTTTTCTCTGCAAACGCCATTCAAAGAGGCATGATAGAGGCCATATTTTTTTGGGCGTTTTCAAATACTCAGAATGAATAAAATTATATTTTAGAACACGGCAGCAGTGGCTGTAGTATAGTATAATAATTAATCAAGGATATATCTAGGTTTAGAGCTAGGTTCCTGCTATGTCTCAATAATTATTAATAACTGGCGGTTTTAATAGGCTAATTCAATATATATTGATTTGATTATATTTTATTTAGTTTAATTTTATTTATCCATTTGTAGACACACACAATGTCATATAGAAGCACTATTTTAATAACTGAAAAATACACATAAAGAAATACACACAAATATATAGCCTACAAATCAAAACAATTTAAACACAAGAACAGCATGACAGGACAGCACCTAAACTACATATCAATTTGCTCAGGCCCTAAAAGCCTTGAAAGAGGACTGCTTTGGTGTTTTTTTTCCTCGTGCTCCCTTTCTGCAGCTCCAGAGAGGTGAGTTTGGCTATGTGGTGTAGCCTTATTTTCAGAAACACAGACACAACTAATGACAACAGTGTGAAGTGATGGTTGTCGATGCCAAACTGCGTCTCCTCAAAGTGTTCCCCAAGTTGAAAAACGTCCTCTGTTCCAACCTCCTCCCAGACGATGTAGGTGACATTTGACAACTTTGGTGCCTGCCTTGTTGATGCTTGCCGGATGACCCTCTCTGCAGCTCTTAACACCTAGGGACTAGATAAGCTTTTGCTTCTCCTGTTTCCCATTCAGTCATGTTACCAATGTATGTAAACAAGAGAAATGACAATGGAAGTGTATGCATAAACCAACCAACATGCCTGAAATGAAATAAAAAAATGAAAATAAAGACAAGACAGAAAGACATAGGTAGGTAGGTAGGTAGGTTGATAGATAGATAGATAGATAGATAGATAGATAGATAGATAGATAGATAGATAGATAGATAGATAGAGGGAATCACAATAAGTAATTTATGCCATGTAATCAATAGAATATAACAGCTTTATTGTGATGCACCTACTCTTTGGAGGTGACCTGGAAACGTGAAGACGGACAGAATAATGCCATCTCGAATGCGGAAAACCTGCCCCGTCCTGTCAAATTCTGCCTCCTTAAAGTGTTGGCTACACAGCACAGAGGAATCACTTGCTGCAAATTTCTCCCTCCTAACAGCAATCTCCCACTTCTTCCTCAAGTTTTTGTCCTTAGGATATCTTCAAAATGAAACAGGAGATCACCACAAAGAAATTTTTAATAAAACAGATAATAAAACAGAGCTCACTTTCTTCCTTCTTCTTTATTTTATTTCTTAACGTTTCTTAGAACCTCTCTCAAACAAAAGTTTTTCAATCTAATGCAAATCTGTTGATAATAGAGCAAAGTTGCTATTATTGTGAATAAGCTAGCTGTTCGCAAATGCTGTTTCCTTTTTGGAGTTGACTGATAGTCTTCCTCTTTGGCCTACAAATGACTCTACAGTCAAGTGTAATGTTGAAAAAACGTTTAATCCTACCTGTGAAAAGTTATTCCTTGAGCCCTGTTCTCTGCTGTCGCCTGTTGGCACAGGAATACGCCGCACAGTGCTCCGGCATCGCTGAATCAATGAATGAATGAGCGGATGGGAAGCTTGACCGGACCAAGATGGCGGCCACATTTCTCGCTGCGCAGCACCCCCAGCAGGGGTCTACCCTTTTATTATGTCTATGGGTTTCCTCCTCTCTGATTTTGATTGACAGCTGGCAGGGTAGTCTGATTGGCAACTGAGAACTGAGTCTGATTGGCAACTGAGTAAAGGACAAAGGTGATTGGTGGATCGGTGCACAGCACATGCAGAGTCACATGCAGTATATCTCAGTCAGCTACCCTTGAAATTAACTGAGTTCATTCACCTCCGACATCGCAGGCTCTGTGATGTGACTATCGCACACACGTACATCGCGATGACGATGCTCAAACGATATATCGTGCAGGCCTAATATTTATTACTCACAACAACTGTTCTTTTGCACATGGATGTCTCAATATTTTTAACATATTTTTTTCAACATTTTATATTTTTACACAACTCTTTAAAACACTTGGTATCAGTAGCTGGTACAAAACAGTTGCTGGTAAACATTTTTTTGTTGTATTGTGAAGTGCAATGACTATAAAGCTTCTTCTCATAAGAGATAGCTGGGGTCCTATTGTTTTCACCATAGAGCCAACAGGCCAGGTGAAATGCATCACCTTCTATACAATCTGTGTGTCCCTGTGGTTCATAATTAATCATTGAGGACAGGAATTTTATCAGAATTGGGTATATAACACAGCTGGGTGATTATAAAGGCAGCTCGGTATTTAAATACATACAAATCAGTAAAAGCTGATTGTATGTAAGTCTCTACAAAGCTCTCCATCAGCTTTAAACATTACAGTTTTTCACTTTTGTTCATGTAACTGAAAAATGTTCACACATCCTGCAGATCTCAGGCTTTAATATCTTCATTTGGCTTTTTGAACTCCTTGAAACGATGGAGAGGTTTCAAAAAAGTGAAATCAAAGTGTAAGGTGGAAGTAAACAAACGAACATTTCATCATGTGGGAGGATGTGGGATCAGGTCTTTGTAAATCCTGGTACTCACATTGATCTCATCCTCTCTTTGACCACAGTGAGCTGTAACACTTCAAGGTGAAGTCCATAAATCCAAATCCAACACACACACACACACACACACCTCATCAGCCATGGCCCACAAGTTCAGAGTTGAGGTTACATCATGGATGGTCTGCACAGCTGGAGTCACAGCTCAACATTACATCAGTCAGACATCATAAACAGGACTGTGCCCTGCTGAGGTTTGTCTATTTGACATAAAAAGACTAAATTCTCCAAACAGGGAGACTTAAATTTGTATATTCACCTGTTTGTGTTCCCATCTTTAAAACAACGACCTGTAGTGAGGAAAAAAAAAGCCATCTGTTTTATTTTTAAGGGGGAATATGAAGAAATGATTAGAATTAATCAAGTGGAGGCAGGTTACTGCCCCCAGCTGAGGAAACTGCAGTCCCAAAATACACAAAAAAGAGCAAGAAAAAAAAGATGAATAAATAACGATAGAATACAATGATTCTAATGCCGACTTTCTTACTATCTTTGATCAATCACATAGTTTTGGTACCAGACTTTCTATATGGTCACACCATAGACTGTTTATATGTATGCATAGCCTATACAGTCTATGGGTCACACCAGCTGAAGCTTTGGTGGTCACATGTCACGTGACATTTCTATGTGACTGAAAGAGACCGGTATCATGAAAAGTCCTTGAAAAAAATCTCTGTACTTGTACAAATCATGACAGATAAACTAAATGTGACTGTTCATCAATGTGTGTATATCTGTCTCTTGTCTTGTCTTATCTCGTCTCTGGGGAAGAGTCTGCAGGCCTTTAACTACAAGTCAACCAGACTATCAGGATTGAGTTGCTTTGTTAACTTTGATAAGCAAAAACCACAAAGCATTCATAATCTATTCATACCAAGCAGTCTTATGGCTACTTTCTTTCAGTTCCTTTCTTTCTCTTTTTGGTATGTTGCTGCTTTTGAGTCCAGCCAGCTGTCTCCTCTTCATCCAGCCTGAGGGTGAAGTCTCAGACAAAAAGACACCAGCTAAGACAAACTGTCCTGCAAGCTGCTGTCAATATTCGCTCAGTGAGCAGAAACACTCAAATACAGCCCATCAAT